GAGTAGCGGTGGCCCACCCGTCATCGTGTCAGCATAATCGCGAGTGCACAAGCCGAGCGCACATGCTCCAGCCCACCCCTCAGCAATTGACGGCTATTTTTTTAAATAATACATTTTTAATATTAAATTTCAGAAGTATTACGCCGTAATTATATTAAAAAATATTACCCAGTTGGCCTACTGCTGACCGATTGGATCCAGTCAGCCTACTGCTGGCCGATTGGCCCCGAGTCAGCCCATTGTCGGCCGATTGGATCCAGTCGGCCCACTGCTGGCCGATTGGCCCCAGTCAGCCCACAGCTGGCCGATTGGCACCCAGTCTGCTTCCTCTAGGCCGACAGGTGCATGCACCCATCTATCTGTTGAGTAGGTATTTGAAAAATGTTGAAGAAGTATTTGAAAAAATGTTGATCATGCATATAAAAATGTTAATCAAGCATTTTTTAAAAATGTTGCACAAGTATTTGAAAATGTTGAATAAATATTTGAAAACTGTTGAATAGGTATTTGAAAAATGTTGAAGAAGTATTTTAAAAAATGTTGATCATGTATATATAAAAATGTTAATCAAGCATTTGCAACAAATGTTGAAGAAGTATTTAAAAAAAAATGTTGAACAGGTATTTGAAAAAAATGTTGAACAAGTATTTTCAAAAATATTGATCATGTAAATAAAAATGTTGAACAAGTATTTGTAAAAATGTTGATCATGTATATAAAAATGTTGAACAAGTATTTGAAAAAAATTGAAAAAGTATTTAATTTTTTTTGAACAAGTATTTGAAAAATAATATAGAAAGAAAAGAAAAAAGAATGAAATAATGGTGAAGACCGGCTCAGTCATCTCTAGTTGGTCGCGATCCCTTTTCTAACCAGTAATTGGAAACTAATGGGGTGGTTAGCTGCTCTGGTGATTGCCATGGAGACCAGGCATCGATCCCCAGCGCAGCTAATAACTACCCCACCAGCTTCCAGATGTTAAACTTTTTTTCAATACTTGTTTAATATTTTTTAAATACTTGTTCAACATATTTTTAATACTTGTTCAACATTTTTATATACATGATCAACATTTTTACAAATACTTGTTCAACATTTATATATATA